CACAGGCTTGGAGATGTCGGCTTCACTGTCTGAATTTTCCGGTTGCTCACCAGAGGAAGGTAGAGGCCCACGGAACACGGAGCGGATCTGCAAATTCAATTCAACGAGCCGACTTGCCACCTGCACGGGTCCCGTTGGAACGCAAATGCGAGAAAACTTGTCATCTATAGACTATAGATCACTAAGTAAAGGCGCCAGAGAACGAACACATTTGGCATTTTAATAATGAAGCAATGATGTAATTGGGAAACATCTCGCCTCAACGTGCTTCGCAGTCACGAGCAAATTGCCAGCCTCATCAACAGTGCTGTCGCCACTAGCCAAAGCCAAGACAGCTATTGCAGCAGAAACTTGGCCATGGTGAGCTGCTGCTGCGGCGTGAAGTGCTTGCATTGAAGAATCCGAAGTCTCTGCCCGAACGCTTTGAGCAACTTGGTTGCCTGAGAAACCATGTAAGCCGAAGGTCTCAATGGATTTCTATGTGTGGCTCGTGAAAGTAAACCCAGTATGAGAATCCCCACATGAACACAGCTGGGGATATGTCAATAAACTTCATTCCAAGCCACCCAGAAGCATCTTGCGAGCAGTTTCTTCCATGGCCAGCACGGAATGTGGGCGGCCACGAAAGAAGTCCGCCACACGCTTAGCGCCAGATTGCAAATGCTTGGTAGGGTCTTGCATGTGCCAGCGCCCAGAAATGCGAAATTCTGTCTGTAAGCCCCCTGCAAAGGAAAGAAGGAAACATGGACAAGAACTGGAAAAACAAGGAAGCGGAGCTAGAACAGAGCAAGTTAGACACCAGTATATTGAATTTGACACCGGGCCTCCAGCAATGGCCACGAAGCGAACACGCGAAGGAACCCCATCTGGCAAAGTCATGGGAAAGCCTTCCTCCCCATGCTCCTCATCAGCCACGTCCGCCTTGTCGCTGAAGTAGCTTGGATTCCCCACAACATCAGTCCACCCGAAAATAGTGGCCTGCAAAGGAGTGAGTGGAAGCCAGGTCCACTGCGGTAAGTCAGGATCAGCATCCAACATGCTCTGAGGGAGAGCATCATGGCGAGCAACGCTGTGGTCAACACACAGCAGGAATCTCTCCTTTGTTGCGGCAGTGTGCTGTCCTTGTAGGCCCCGCTCCATCGCAATGATTTTCGAAGGGTGGGCATTGCCCAAGATGCTGAGGCTGATGTGTTGAGAACTGTTCCCTTCATACGTGGTTGCCCTCTTGGTCTTTCCGCGTTGGATCAGAGTATTCAAGGTGGAAGCATGCGGGTTGACTGCTCCGGAGCGGGCCTTGTCGCCAGGGCAACCCAAAAGGCTCAAGCTCTCCAGCATTTCGTAGGCCCCGTCCAAATTCCATGCCTGTCCATACCACAAGCGGGCAGTGTCTTTGTCTTTCTTGGTGCCATACTCAAATTGAGGAAAATCAGTGCTGCACCGATAGAAAAACTCAGACATAGTGACACTCTGGACACTGACGGATTTTGCCACGAATGGTACGGCGGCATCGCCTTCTGTGTCCCCCCGCAAGGTTTTGCCATGCTCTGTGGCCAACTGCTGGACACATACATCGGCTTGCTCCTTAGCACAATGGAACTGGATGACATGAAACAAGCTTATAGACGAACCCAACAAACGCTTGCAGAAAGAAGAAAGCTACGACTCATGCGGGCACCAAGATGCGAACAGCATTTCGAGAGCGTTGTGCAGCCTGCTCTTGCCTTTCTGGGGCTTGGCCACATGAATAGCTAGCAGAGCCAAGGGTGATGGTTTCTGAGACCACAGCTCTACCGAAGCACCATTTGTTAGGGCTGGCATGGCGGCAGCCAACATCGTTGTGGTTGCAAACAAGCCTTGGCAAGTCGCGACACTGATGGGAAGGAGAAAGTCGTGGATACTTTGAGGAAGATGTTCGGATGAGAAATTGTCCCGGACAACATCCAAGGCATGCTGGAGCAAACCATCCGTATCCAGGTCTGACAACTCATCCGTAGACGCCGGCATGGCTAGCAACTGCTTGGTCAAGTGTTGCAGTATGTCTGCCAGTTTGCTATAAGTGCCTGAACGAAAACGGCTTTGGTAATGATACGATTCCTGCCAGCAACATCACGTTGACTGGAAGAAAAGCAGCCATGCACCCAGCGAAGATGGAACATGATTGCTTCATGTGTTGGCCACCTGTCAACAACAGAAACGCCCAACAAAGTACAGGATTCCCAAAGCAGCACGCCTGCATGTGGGCTTTAAGGCAGCGCAAGCGCCTGACAAGCGGTTGGTGACTAGAGTGACTGGAGACAAATCAACGGGCTCAGTTTGGGGCATGCCATTCACATGTGAGAATGTATATATCAATGTGTTCGCAACCTTTAACGAAACTCCGCTTCCTCGTTCCGAATCACTTTGCCGTGGGCTACCCCGTGGTAAGTAAGTCTATATGGGCGGCTGGGTAGCGGCCGGTGGCAAATGGTGGTGGGTGGGTGGGTGATGGCGATTGGCCGGTGGCATGGCTAGCCGGAAGCGGTGTCAGGTGAGAATGTGGTGGCCGGTGGCCGGTGGCATGCCTGGCCGGTAGCCGATGGCCGGTGGCCGGTGGCATCGGTGGCCGGTGGCATGGGCGGCCGGTGGCATGGCCGGCCGGTGGCATGGCGGGCCGCCGGAGGCAAATGGCCGGCGGCATGGGTGGCTGTTGGCCGGTGGCATGGCTGGCCGGTAGCCGATGGTGGCCAGTGGCCGGTGGCCGGTGGCCGGTGGCATGGCTGGCCGGTGGCATGGCTGGCCGGTGGCCGTTGGCCGGTGGCATGGCTGGCCGGTGGCCGTTGGCCGGTGGCATGGCTGGCCGGTAGCCGATGGCCGGTGGCCGGTGGCCGGTGGCATGGCTGGCCGCCGGTTGAGCTGCAGGAGCCGATCTACAAGGAAGGCAAGAGGCAGAGGGGCGTTGTGATGTGTCAAATCGTTGCCGAGCCCAAGACTTTGCAAGCCCTTCATGTTGTCCGGTGGTGTGGGCGTGGTTGCGAAGGCAAAGGTATCAAATATTGGTGCAACGATTTGACACATCACAACGCCCCTCTGCCTCTTGCCTTCCTTGTAGATCGGCTCCTGCAGCTCAGACCTGCAGTGAGGACAATGTGTGCGACATGAAGACACCCACTGCACCGCCATACCACGCACAACAGGGTTGCGGAAGATACAGCGCCACACCGTATCCTAAAGCAGAAAGAAACAGCACCTGCGGCATGGACAAAGCATCCACAGTAACCTGGCCTGCTCAAGTTTCAAGAGCAAGTTCAAATTCAGATTTAAAATGATTTAGACGCGAGAACAGAAGCCATCAGGTTGGAAAGTCTAAGCCGTAGCGCGCACCAGCCATTTTTCTGTCCAAAAGCACAAACGTCTTCCGGTCTCCTGTCCGGACTTTGACGCGCCTGCCACTTGCTAGCCATGAGTGTTTCAATGAGTTCTAAGCAATGACATCAGAACTGATATGATATGCCATGAAAGATTCAGATCCTGGGCGCGTATGAATCATGTAGCTAGCTATCGCAAGCTGGAGTGTCTGAGCCGGAGCTCTAACATTACAAAATTGCTGGCCTTGGCCGTCGCCCTTAAAATTTGAAGCGTGTCTCAGCATCACGCTGGCGGCGTGGCAGGGGCTGGGGTGCGAGAATCCGTTGAAGATCTCCGATCTTGCGGTGGATCACGAGCAGCGGTCTCATCCACTGCGCTTTCTTGGGCTGGTTGCGCCCCTGCCTGGCGATCATGCCACAGGGCTCTCCTGTCCCGAATGGACACCTTGCAGCACTGCATGGCCTGGTTGTGGAAACGGATCTGGTTAGAGGGATTTGTGGACCAGCCTCGCAAAACCACTGTGACATCTTTCTTGCCGTTTGAATTTGGCACCACCTTTTCGTCCACGTAGCCCAGGCGAGGAAAGCGCTGGAACGCTGCAACCAAAACGTCCTTCACCTGCAAGATGGCAAGGAACGGAGCGGCAATAATTGTAGAGAGATTATGTGTTAGTTGATTGACCCATGTGACTAAATACATGCAGAAGGGTAAGGACAAGAAACATCCCTTGCCAAAGTTCTGGCCTGCCCCTGCGCTGGACGGATTTTGCGACGTTTGTTCTCAACCTTGGTGTCAATGTGGTGGTAGAGGTCCACAATACGACCCAATTTAAACCTGCTTTGGCCACTGAGTAGAACTTTTTGAACTAGCATGCGGTCCTGAAACAACTTGTCCTGGAAGATCATGGCGTTGTCTGTGCCCAATCCTTGCTTGAACAGTTCAGACGGCATGTGAGAAAAACCCAAAGGTGTTTCATCCGGCTCCATCTCCTCATCTGGAACCCCTTCCTCCAAATCCTGAAGCTCCACCGGCTGGTGCGCAATCTCAATAGGTGGAGCAGGCGGTAAGACAGGTTCTTTTGCAGGCTCAACTGCAACGCGTGGCCTGGGTTGTGTTGCCGCTGGCTCTGCAACGCACCGGAATTCCTCACAGGCTTGGAGATGTCGGCTTCACTGTCTGAATTTTCCGGTTGCTCACCAGAGGAAGGTAGAGGCCCACGGAACACGGAGCGGATCTGCAAATTCAATTCAGCGAGCCGACTTGCCACCTGCACGGAGCCCGTTGGAACGCAAATGCGAGAAAACTTGTCATCTATAGACTATAGATCACTAATTAAAGGCGCCAGAGAACGAACACATTTGGCATTTTAATAATGAAGCAATGATGTAATTGGGAAACATCTCGCCTCAACGTGCTTCGCAGTCACGAGCAAATTGCCAGCCTCATCAACAGTGCTGTCGCCACTAGCCAAAGCCAAGACAGCTATTGCAGCAGAAACTTGGCCATGGTGAGCTGCTGCTGCGGCGTGAAGTGCTTGCATTGGAGAATCCGAAGTCTCTGCCCGAACGCTTTGAGCAACTTGGTTGCCTGAGAAACCATGTAAGCCGAAGGTCTCAATGGATTTCTATGTGTGGCTCGTGAAAGTAAACCCAGTATGAGAATCCCCACACATGAACACAGCTGGGGGATATGTCAATAAACTTCATTCCAAGCCACCCAGAAGCATCTTGCGAGCAGTTTCTTCCATGGCCAGCACGGAATGTGGGCGGCCACGAAAGAAGTCCGCCACACGCTTAGCGCCAGATTGCAAATGCTTGGTAGGGTCTTGCATGTGCCAGCGCCCAGAAATGCGAAATTCTGTCTGCAAGCCCCCTGCAAAGGAAAGAAGGAAACATGGACAAGAACTGGAAAAACAAGGAAGCGGAGCTAGAACAGAGCAAGTTAGACACCAGTATATTGAATTTGACACCGGGCCTCCAGCAATGGCCACGAAGCGAACACGCGAAGGAACCCCATCTGGCAAAGTCATGGGAAAGCCTTCCTCCCCATGCTTCTCATCAGCCACGTCCGCCTTGTCGCTGAAGTAGCTTGGATTCCCCACAACATCAGTCCACCCGAAAATAGTGGCCTGCAAAGGAGTGAGTGGAAGCCAGGTCCACTGCGGTAATTCAGGATCAGCATCCAACATGCTCTGAGGGAGAGCATCATGGCGAGCAACGCTGTGGTCAACACACAGCAGGAATCTCTCCTTTGTTGCGGCAGTGTGCTGTCCTTGTAGGCCCCGCTCCATCGCAATGATTTTCGAAGGGTGGGCATTGCCCAAGATGCTGAGGCTGATGTGTTGAGAACTGTTCCCTTCATACGTGGTGGATGTTCTCGTTGCCCTCTTGGTCTTTCCGCGTTGGATCAGAGTATTCAAGGTGGAAGCATGCGGGTTGACTGCTCCGGAGCGGGCCTTGTCGCCAGGGCAACCCAAAAGGCTCAAGCTCTCCAGCATTTCGTAGGCTTCGTCCAAATTCCATGCCTGTCCATACCACAAGCGGGCAGTGTCTTTGTCTTTCTTGGTGCCATACTCAATTTGAGGAAAATCAGTGCTGCACCGATAGAAAAACTCAGACATAGTGACACTCTGGACACTGACGGATTTTGCCACGAATGGTACTGCGGCATCGCCTTCTGTGTCCCCCCGCAAGGTTTTGCCATGCTCTGTGGCCAACTGCTGGACACATACATCGGCTTGCTCCTTAGCACAATGGAACTGGATGACATGAAACAAGCTTATAGACGAACCCAACAAACGCTTGCAGAAAGAAGAAAGCTACGACTCATGCGGGCACCAAGATGCGAACAGCATTTCGAGAGCGTTGTGCAGCCTGCTCTTGCCTTTCTGGGGCTTGGCCACATGAATAGCTAGCAGAGCCAAGGGTGATGGTTTCTGAGACCACAGCTCTACCGAAGCACCATTTGTTAGGGCTGGCATGGCGGCAGCCAACATCGTTGTGGTTGCAAACAAGCCTTGGCAAGTCGCGACACTGATGGGAAGGAGAAAGTCGTGGATACTTTGAGGAAGATGTTCGGATGAGAAATTGTCCCGGACAACATCCAAGGCATGCTGGAGCAAACCATCCGTATCCAGGTCTGACAACACATCCGTAGACGCCGGCATGGCTAGCAACTGCTTGGTCAAGTGTTGCAGTATGTCTGCCAGTTTGCTATAAGTGCCTGAACGAAAACGGCTTTGGTAATGATACGATTCCTGCCAGCAACATCACGTTGACTGGAAGAAAAGCAGCCATGCACTCAGCGAAGATGGAACATGATTGCTTCATGTGTTGGCCACCTGTCAACAACAGAAACGCCCAACAAAGTACAGGATTCCCAAAGCAGCACGCCTGCATGTGGGCTTTAAGGCAGCGCAAGCGCCTGACAAGCGGTTGGTGACTAGAGTGACTGGAGACAAATCAACGGGCTCAGTTTGGGGCATGCCATTCACATGTGAGAATGTATATATCAATGTGTTCGCAACCTTTAACGAAACTCCGCTTCCTCGTTCCGAATCACTTTGCCGCGGGCTACCCCGTGGTAAGTAAGTCTATATGGGCGGCTGGGTAGCGGCCGGTGGCAAATGGTGGTGGGTGGGTGGATAATGGCGATTGGCCGGTGGCATGGCTAGCCGGAAGCGGTGTCAGGTGAGAATGTGGTGGCCGGTGGCCGGTGGCATGCCTGGCCGGTAGCCGATGGCCGGTGGCCGGTGGCCGGTGGCATGGCTGGCCGGTGGCATGGCGGGCCGCCGGTGGCCGGCGGCATGGGTGGCCGTTGGCCGATGGTGGCCAGTGGCCAGTGGCCGGTGGCCGGTGGCCGGTGGCATGGCTGGCCGGTGGCATGGCTGGCCGGTGGCATGGCTGGCCGGTGGCCGTTGGCCGGTGGCCGTTGGCCGGTGGCATGGCTGGCCGTTATAGCCGATGGCCGGTGGCCGGTGGCCGGTGGCATGGCTGGCCGCCGGTGGCCAATGGCCGGCGGCATGGCTGCCCGTTGGCCGGTGGCATGGCTATAGCCGGTAGCCGATGGCCGGTGGCGGTGGGCGGTGGCCTGGCTGGCCGGTGGCAGGGCTGGCCGGTGGCCGGTGGCCGTTGGCCGGTGGCATGCACGGCTGGCCGGTAGCCGATGTTGGCCAGTGGCAGGTGGCCGGTGGCCGTTGGGGTGGCATGGCTGGCCGGTGGCATGGCTGGCCGGTGGCCGTTGGGGTGGCATGGCTGGCCGGTAGCCGATGGCCGGTGGCCGGTGGCCGGTGGCATGGCTGGCCGCCGGTGGCCAATGGCCGGCGGCATGGCTGGCCGTTGGCCGGTGGCATGGCTATAGCCGGTAGCCGATGGCCGGTGGCATGGCTGGCCGGTAGCCGATGGCCGGTGGCCGGTGGCCGGCGGCCGGCCGCGAAATAAGTCTATTGTGACCTCAGTCGAAATACTACCATGCCACCCACCACCACTACCACTACACCACCAGGCACTTCATCGCCACTGGTCTTGACACCAAATCCAAATCCAACTATCCGCATCCTCCAACCCAACGACCCTTCTCGTCCTCCAAGTGACCCACCATATCGACCTTGGACGAACACAGACGATCAAGAGCTGATCAACCTCAAACAGGACACAAAATTCCGTCCTTCGTGGAAGGCGATCGGAGCTCGACTTCGTCGTGATCCTCAGGTGTGCAAACTGAGATGGGGAATCTTGAAACAAACGGACCAACATGGTCACGTTCATCCGCCTCATGAACCGGAGGCTGAGGACTAAACGGCCGTGACATTCCAAAAGGAAAAAAAAGGAGTGCACCTACCTTAAAATTTCGGACATGCCGCTCTTTGGTCCCTTATTTTGTCCTGTTTCTCCTTTTTTCGCTTCTATTCCTCTTTCCTTCACTCTTCCTTTCCTTTTTCTTTCTGCATGTTGTGCAAATTTGGTTTCTCTAGCACATATGGCTCACTCATCCGATTACGTACGAATTGCCCCAGATCGTTCCCGCTCACGGGACGAACCCATGTGGCAGAATCGCAACCAACAACGGCGCAGTCAATATCGCGACACATGGCATGAAGTACCACCAGTACGTCGACCCAGGCAAGTGCTCATCATCGTCAATCTTGAAGCAGTTCGTCCACTCATGGCCAAAGTCCATGGTGATGTCATGGATTCAACAACCTGCGATGCTTTGCCTTCTCTTGGTAGAATGGAAGAACTTGCTCTGTTCACCTACCATGTCTTGATCCACACATACCATGTGGAAACATTCACGGTGAACAACTTGCTGTCCTACATCAGCCAACACATCTTGTACACGTGGGATCGTCATCTTGAACCCACTTCTATGGATCTCCGTTGGCAAGACCAGACTGGGGACACATTCATCCTTCGCAATGAGTACCGCCTGATTGATCTTCTCCATGAATTTCGCCCTCATTGGACTGAAGGTCAAGAATTTGGGATCCTGTTTCCGAACAACATTCGACCTTTCACGTCCCAGAATCAGCCATATATCATGCGCCTGAGTTGCCATGAGGCACTTCCCAACCGCAACATGCTTCCATAAATGGGAAAAAAGCCCGCCTTGCTCCATGTTCCATTTACTTAACCCCAAAAAAAGGGTTTTCGTCATCACTTAACATCGCATTAACACGATTCCTCTTCAACCCTGTGTCATTCCTCAGCTCTTGGCTTCAGTTTTGAGATTACAAAACGAGATTCTTTCCTCGCCGGTATTAACTCGCCTCGGGCACCGACGAGCATGCAACGTCGTCAGCTCCATCTCCAGGGGCAGTCCAGCAGTGGTGCTACATCCTCAGGTCAAAGACCGCAACCAAGCACCGCCATGGGCATATTGGCCCCACAATCCCATCATGGGATAGACCATAGCGGCAGCTCCTCTCAGACTCACCACTACGGGTATACGTCAACTGCCCCGTCAGTTCCTCTACCTGATGCATCTGCCCACCATCTCCACGAAGAAGCCTACCCACTCCAGGCGGAAATTGAACAACAACACCGAGTTCTCCACACTCACATCTTTAAAGCGGTCATTTCACCTCACCAAACCGGCGTCAATCGCCTTATGGTGACAGAAGTGGATTGTTTCGGTGTTCAACGGAACCGTCAACCGGAGTTCTTCTTCAACGGAATTGTTGGTCACATTCGTGCAGGCCGTCACGGGTGGATTAGCAGTTGGGAACAATCTACCCAACTAGCCAACTACTGGCGTCGTCACTTCAATATCCCTGAAGTGAACAATGAGAACGACTCTTGGCAACATCATCCGCAAGCGTCTGACAATGCTGATCGACCTGAAGAAAGCCAAGAAACAACACTGGAATCAGAGATGGACGACACTGACTCCATCGCTGCCAATGTCGGTACGGCATCGGTTCCAAGTCAGATTCACCAGCTGGCCACAGTCCTCTGGAACATTCTCAACAATGACAGGGACTCCAATGCTGCGATCCTCGAGAAGCTTGAAAACCCAGGAGATGACTTGAGCACCAACCCGGTCCAGGTCTTCACGGTAACAGACCTGGCCCACCTTGCAAGCCATTTGGCTCTGACGACACACGTCCTCTCCCAGCAGGCACAGAACATGGAAGAATTGTCCGAAATCGATGACTAGCGACAAGATGAACTTCCTGCCGATGCCGTTCTGAGCAGACCGGATAATTCAATTGCATTTCACTCCCTGTGTTTTGATTTTGCTTCAATCGCTACATCCTGTCTCAGGGATAAGATAAGAGCTTCGCTAACTTTCATGCAGTTGAAAAATCAGCCTCGCGGCAGCGAGGCGTGTGTGTGGAACATCTGAAAAGATGTAAAACTTCTAACTTGCTTGCTGAGTTTGCAATGACCGTTTTTTCATCATTGATGCCGGTAGCCGTTTGGTTTTTTCACTTGACCTTCTGATAGGGGTTCACGCCTTTTCTAGCAGGGGGGTCATCCACGACCTTGACTGATGACCCAACGAAGAGGGTCAAGGTTCGTGCTGATATCACGGCTGATCACCGTGACGTACCTGCTTCAATTTTCATATCAATTTTCTGAAATGGGAAGTGGCCAACCCAAAAACCACCTTGTCGTTTGAAAGATCACGAGTTGGTTCAGATGGAACAATTGCATCTAGCAAGGACGTAGAAAGAATTCCTTTACACTGTCTCTCGCGACTAGTCATTTACCATTTCCTGTCAAGTTTTACTGAAGTGTTTTTGCACGTACGATGCATTCCACATCAATAATTCGATAAGCTATTTCTGAGCAAGTGTGTGTGTGTGTGTTCTGTTGTGTTCTGTTGTCATGGGCATGCTGCATATGCTGCATGTCGAATCTCAGGAAATGATGGTTTTCTTGGCTTTCTAACCCGGGATGCAGATAGACAATGATAACAGATTTGTTTTCTGCAGTATTTGTTTAAGGATCGAATAGGTAAAGTGGGCTTGGTGACCGGCCAAACCGAGACCAAAGCTGCGATCAGTTCTGTGCCCCTGGCAACTGTGATGTGGACAAGATCCGAATGGTTAATGACTATGACCTGCAATTCCTGGCTGTGGAAAATGGAGGAACATGTGTTGGTAATTTTCAAAATGGTAATTCACCGGGCAACCCATCAATAGCTTTGCAAACTTCTGGGACCACTTGCTGGCGTAACGCAGTAGATCCATCAAAGCAAGCTACGTGCGAAGCACCACCTGCCAACTCTGTTGACCGACGAGTGTGCTACTGCATACCTACTGTTGGAGGAGGTCAGGGCGACCCCCATATCCACAGCTTGTGGGGAGCCCGCTACACCTTGCTGCAGCAAGGCGTTTTCATCGCCTGGAACTTCACCAAGGCTGTGCCAGCATCAGCTCTGCCAGGTGCAGCTCCAGCTCGTGGATGGCAGCTCCTGGCGGCCTATGCAGGCGATCACTTCACTACGCAAGGCCTGCTGCTCCTGGACCGCTCCGGGCAGTCCATGGAGATCACCGCAAAAGATTGCGCTTGGCGTGTCCAGGAGAAGAAATCCCCATGGCGCAAGGCGCAGGTGGAGTTGCTATTGGCAGAAGATGGGACGACCAGCCTCCAAGTGAAGAAGCTACACGAGAAACTCGGCGAAACCAAGATGTTGAGGTCTGCAATCCTCTTGAAGATG